TACAAATAGTAAAGGTGACAGGAGGCAACCCTGTCTGGTGCCGTTAGAAATTGGAAAAGGGTCAGATTCTAGACTATTCACTCGAACAGTGGCAGTGGGGTTAGTGTATAAAGCAGCGACCCACCGTAAAATGGGAGAGGGCATCCCAACATAGCATAGTGTCTCCTGAAGGGACCTCCAGTCTACACGATTGAACGCCTTCTCAACGTCAGTGGACAAAAGCATGATAGGGACACTAGATCTCCTAGCTTGCTCAATAATATTTAAAGTACGGATAGTGTTGTCTCTAGCTTCTAGCGTCGGTATGAAGCCAACTTGATCAGGTGCAATGAGACGTGGCATCAGCACATTCAGATGCGAAGCCAAGATTTTTGTAAAGATTTTAAGGTCACAGTTCAGAAGGGAGATAGGCCTATAACTGGAGAGCATAATAGGGGGTCCTTATCAGGTTTCGGAATTATTGTGATGGCAGCCCGTAACAAATCCTCAGGGATGGCATGTTCTTCTAAAATAGCATTAAAAGAAGACAGGAAATGAGGCGCCAAGCAAACACAACATTTTGTAATAAAGCAGAGCAAAACTGTTTGGTCCAGGAGCCTTCCCTATTTGGGTAGAGGGTATGGCCGCAGCAAATTCCTCCACTGAGATGAGTTGAGAAAGTGACTCCTGTTCTTGGTTAAGGGTAGGGAGGTTAGCGTCATGGAGGTACTCTCGAATGAAAACCAAGGAAGGGCAGGTCGAGGAAGTAGGAGGGACCGGGTCTATATTACAAAGTTTTGAGGTAAAATTCTCAGAAGGCCTTCATCATATCCGAAGAGGTATGGAGTTTGGTACCAGCGGAATCAAGCATGGTTGGGATATAAGACCGAGATCACCTATCTCTCAACGCATTAGCTAATATTTGACCGCACTTGTCACCGTATTCATAGAACGTTCGGCGTGTATTAAGCAAAACCTGCTTTACGTTACAGAAAAAATGGTCCCTGATCGCTTTCCGAATCCGCACCAGTTCCGCCTCAGAAGCACGGTCTGGTTTGTCTTTGTCGCTGTTCCAGGGTATGAAGTTTCGGTCATATAGAGTCTTGGCACACTGTTGTTTACGAATATGGCTGAGCTTTATTAAAATACCTCTAATGTAACATTTGTGAGCAGTCCACATAGGGGATTTTCCACTGAGTTCACGCTAGGTGCAAAGATGTTAGTTCCCTCTGAAGCTCTTTAGACAAGTCAGGATCCTTATGGAGACAATCATTGAGGCGCCATGAAGGCAACCAGGGGGTCACATTGGATGGGACTAGTTCCAAAGAAACTGGCGTGTGATCCGAGAGTGCAATGTGGCCTTTATCAGACTTAGAGATCATGGGTATCGTCCGATGTTCTGTCAGAAAAAAAAGTAAATTCTAGAGTAGGAGCCATGTACTGTAGAATAAAAAGTATAATCGCGCTCTTGTGGGTGCAGGATCCTCCAAATATCGATTAATTGGTAGGTGTGTAAAAGGTCTCGAAGACTAAGTTTATCTTTCTGAAACATATGGACGAGCCCGTCGAGTCCTCATGGGGGTCTAGAGTAAACCTGAAGTCCCCTCCTAATACCAGAGTACCCTCAATGAAGGACTCCAAAACACATAAGAAAGGAGAAACTGCCAATCAAGGGTTTTTGCTATAAGGATACTCGTTCCTTTAGATTTAGACATAGGAGATGGGCAATGGTAAGCCAGACTGAAATGTTTTTATCGGTGAGTTTTGGGAAACGATCCGCACAAAAAAAATGGGTTTCCTGGAGAAAGGCTACCTGCACTCTGCGTCTCCAAAGTTCAGTGAGACAACTGGAGCGCTTCTCAGGTGAATTCAACCCCTTTGACATTCCAAGAATGAATCTGAGGGCCATGGCAGCTAAAAGGAGTGCAGCCAAGAGTGCCCGCCTCCCATACCCAGAGGAAATTTAAAAAAAAAAAAGGGGGGGGGGGGGGGGGAGAAAAGGGGGCAGAAAGCAGAAAAAAAAGTAGAAGAAAAGAGAGAACATTAAGAAGACCGTCTACAGAGAAAGTTTCCTAACTAGGAAAGCTACTGCCACCAGGGCAGAGTAACCCTAAAGTGGGCTCCCCACATCAAAGTGACCTGGCCAGGTGGGCTCCCCATATCAGTAGTAGTCCAGATCCGGAAGCCCAGCATGATATATCAACAACAATACGTGTAAAATAACATTAACCTGTGGTAGTCCCAGTAGGGGAAAAAGGTAATTTGCAATGCTATGGAATACAGAAAAACTTACAGGCACAGTCAACAGTCAAACATACTTGTAGACATACCTGCCAACCTAAACAGGTACTAACATATCCAACCCTACAAAACAGCAGGACAAACTCATGGGACAAATGTTTGTCGCAGACAATTGCAAATTTCCACAGCAGAGTACAGTAAGGACTATAGTTACTGTGCAAAAAGGAAACCCCAGGTCCACGCTTCCAGCCTGTGGGGCAAAGAAGGACCATGCAATAGAAGCAAGGAGAGCGAATTCTGCCCTCGGCAGGCAGGGCAGCAAGGATGCAAACCCAATACGCCCACGCCTCCAATAGAGGCCAGCACTCCAGGTGCAGCACCGCACCCCAGAAGAAGGCAGCGTGTGCTCTTGGGCAAAGACATCTCCGCAGGCCACAGGACAGGCACGTGGACCAAGGTACACAGGTGGAGTGCTGCCCACTTTCAGGATATTAAATCATAAAATTAATAAGTGACTTCTGGGTACTTAAGCTCGGACTCATATACCCGGAGAGATTGTATATTGTATTGTAGTGTCTATATGTTTAGTCTAAGTCCATTCCCAATCTGTATGTAATTGCACTGCGTGTTGGCAGATTGCATGCAGATTGTAAAGTAGCAGATCTGCCAGATGGAGATTGTGTGGTGTGGCCCAGCAGACCAGTCTGCGGACAAACTGTTAGGTGGTGGCAAGCTACCAATTGTTGTGTGTCTGGTGTGGGGGGGTGTGACAGTGGAAGAGTGATTAACTCTGGGGTTCTAGCTCGTAGGATAGCTGGAGGAATCCTAGAAGGGTGTGCCAATTGCTAGACTGCTCCCCCACCCTTAGAGTGCACTAGATTGTATATAAGATTCGTATTTGCCTGTGTGTGGTAAGCCAGCTGGATTGGAGTTGAGTCTCCCTCTAGTGGTGGCCAGAGGCAGTGTGGGCTTTGATAGTGTATCACGGCCAATCTTATGTGCTCAAAGTCCCCTCATTCCCTCTTTACCCCCAGTCATGAACGTACAACGGTTAGCTAGTCACCGTGGGTGTGCGTTTTGATCCGTGACACCATAAAAGTACAATTGTAATATTAATGTTATGCCTACGTAATCATGTGTATAAAAAAAACTTGAAATGTACTGAATAAACAGAACAGCTATTTGTAATGATGCTGAGTGAATCTTTTTGTGCCCGTTCTCTACTGCAATAATTATTATTAATTTGGAACCACTAATCATTATGAGGATAGGCGTTGCCAATCTATAACATTTTCAGTATTAATGCCCAGAATGCCCCCTCCCACACTGGCGACCCCAAGTCCACCACCTCTGGGAGATGTTAATTTGTAGACGAGTAGACTAAAGAAAAAAAAAAAGACAATGTAAGGATAGATAGATAAAATGAGAAAAAAAGATCTGTGCTTTCACATCTGTGCTTTCATGCTTTCAACCTCTGATAAAAATCGACACAGACATGGTTGTAGCTGTGGGTGGGTTCAAGGTACTAGCCTCATCTTGGATAGTTTCCTTCACCTGCTCCTCCTCCTGGCTGATGTACTGGCCAGTTGGATGTTGTACTAAAAAGAGTAAACATTACAAATTAAAAAAAATATATATTTAAAAGAAAAATCCCAAAAAAGTTTAAAGGATAATTAAAAAAAAAAATGGTAAAAAAAAAAAAAATAATGTAAACAAAAAAACCTAAATTTCTTATGAAAATTTTTTTTTTCTAATCCACTGCTAGAACCCCCCTCCCCCCCACTCTAAGAAATATAAATTAAAGATCAATTTACTCAACGTGTAATGGAATCCCCCAGGAAATCAAGCTCTGCTGACATATGGCATGGCTTGTAGGTGATTGGGGCTCTACTCCTCTGCCCTTCCATTTCCTTATTGTAGTCTCTCCGCACACGGTCATGCAGGGACTTCCACCGCTTCTGGAGGATTGAAACTGAAAAAACCCCCACAAAAGTGTACATAACTAGACACACATCAAAAATGTAGATAAAGATAAAATCATGCAGACATATGCACTTGCTCCATCTTTTGGCTGTGTGTAAAAGCCTCCCAATCCTCAGTCTGTGACAAATTTCCTCCCTTATGTTCCTTTTTAATATGCTGTCCACATATTTAGAATGGGACTTATCCCAAATTTGGGGATGCATTTTGACAGTTGTGATAAACTGTGCTAGCTCTCATCCATGACCATTGTCTTTCTCTGCAGACATGAGGACATCAGGGTGGGTGGGTCAAGGTCACAGAGAGCTTCCTATATACACATGATTTCCTGGACTGTCATCTAAAAAAAAAAAAAAAAAAAAAATTCCCTAAACTTGACACAGCTTTTTTTTTTAAATTCTTTCTCCTGAACGTGGTTTTGGTGCATTCCGATTTCTGCCTCTAAACACTCCTGCCTTCAAATGCTAAACGCCTGTGTGTGCATGAACACATGGGATAACATAGAAAAGTGTTCAGGGGTTTCAGGATTAAACACCAAACGCCTAAAATACTGTGAAGTGTGCATGAGCCCTTAGTGGTACAGTAAAAGGTACTCCTTTTTTTTTTTTTTTTTTTTTTTTTTTTTTTTTTTTAATCATGAACTATGAAGCATTGTGGATGACAGCAAACATGTAATTTTATAACATAGGTGTCTGCATTCTGTTATGCAACTATTATCTGGTATGGCTTCAAAGTTTGAAGAATTGCAGAGGTTAATGGTTAGCTAAGCCGACATTTTATATTTTCTCTCTGCAGTGAAAATGAAGCCTGTTATTGTTGTTCATGGTGGTGCTGGTACAATAGTACAGGAGTATGACAAAGAGTACCGTTCTGGAGTGAAGAGAGCAGCTCTCCGAGGTTACGATATATTGAGACAAGGTGGAGATGCAGTAACAGCAGTGGAAGAAGCTGTGGTGGTGCTGGAAGATAATCCATGTTTCAATGCAGGTGGGCAAACTTTACATAATATTGCATAAAGAGGAATAACATTTTTAACAGTATGCTCAATTCAAAGATTTGATGCATGTGTTTTTATACATTACATGATTTTTTTTTTTTAAGCCATGTGACTGTGATTTCCAACTTTCATTGACCGCCATTGCTGAAAATAAGTGTCATGGTGAATAACTATCTTTCTAGCCTGTCATCTTTGGACTGTTAATTAGAAGCATGTAACTTTTTTTATGAAGGTTTCAATCAGTGTTTGTTTTAAAGATAGTGTGGTTGATTTCTTAAAACTGGATAGTGTGTGGTGCAGCTCTGTATAGAAACTAATTAGCTTCCAGATCTATTTTAATTGAACAAGCTGAAGTTAGAAGCTGGTTGGCTGTCATGCACAGCTACACCAAATTTTGCACTTTCCAGTTTTAGTAAATCAACCCCCGTTGTTTCTGGTGTGTGAATGTACTGTAAGTAGATTGATGACTGCAGCCACACATACTGTATGAAGGCTGTGTTTTCTGCTTAGTAATATTGCACAGTGACTGTTACTTTGTTTTAGTGCAAGTAGTGACTGGTTGAAAACTATGCATTCTGTATAGGCCAAATAAATCTGCCTGATGAGAGTAAATGGCATTGTTCGTTGCAGTTTATTTAACCACTCACCTACAGGGGATGTATTCCCCCTTCCTGCCCAGGCCAATTTTCAGCTTTCAGTGCTAGTGCACTTTGAATGACATATGCGTGGTCATGCAACACTGTACCCATATTACATTTTTATAATTTTTTTTGAGACCGAGCTTTCTCTTGGTGGTATTTAATCTCCGTTGGGTTTTTTATTTTTTGTTAAACCAAAAACAACTGAAAATTTTGAAAAAACATTTTTTTTCTTTAGTTTCTGTTATAAAATTTTGTAAATTGAAAATTTTGAAAAAAAAGTTCTTAGTTTCTGTTATAAAATTTGGTAAATAAGTGATTTTTCTCCTTCACTGATGTGCGTTAATGAGGCTGCACTGATGGGCACTGAAAGGCATCGCTCATATGGCACTGATAGGCGGCACTGACTGGCACGGATAGGTGGCACTGGTGGGCACTGATATGTGGAATTGATGTGGCACTGATGGGCACTGGTATGTGGCATTGATGGGCACTGATATGTGGTATTGATGTGGCACTGATGGGCACTGGCAGGTGGCATTGATGGGCACTGACATGTGGCATTGATGGACACTGATAGGTGTCACTGATGGGGCTATACTGATCATCAGGGCACACTGATCATCAGTGCCCAGATCATCAGTGTAGATGTCCCCTCTGAGTAATGCAGATTACCGTCTCTCCTCTCCTCTCCTCACGAGCTGTCAGCATGACAGCTCATGAGGAGAGAAATGCTGATAACCGGCATTTCCTTATTTACATCAATCAGCTGTGATTGGACACAGCTGATCACATAACAGAGCCGACATCCTCTGCTTTTTCCATTGATCGGTGATCTGCTGTGTCCCAGGGACACAGCGCACCACCGATCGCCACGCTGGGTGCACACGCAGTTAGAGTGGGAGGACGTCATATTACATCCTCCTAGAACAAGAGAACTACCTTGCCCCCTCATTACCTTATATGGCGGGCGGGAAGCGGTTAAGAGGGAAGGACTGATCCCTTTATTTTAGAATTTTTTTCCCCAGCAAGCTAGAAAATCTCTAGAAGAACTTTTGGTTGAAATTGCTTATCTCCTGGTTATCCCTGAATTTCTCTGAGAATCACGCTGGGATGGCATAAAGCAAGTAAAGTGATATTAAACACTCAGTTTTTTCAAGCACTTACAGCAGCTGATTCAAAGTGGTATTAAACCCCAAATCAAAAATATAATACATTGCAGCTTACCAATCATTAGATGTGGTGACTACATTCTTTTTTTTTTTTGGGGCTTTTTTTCACTTTGTTTTCTCATGTTGATCCAGTTGATTGGTCAGTAACACACCTCCTGTATTAGAGTGTCCATACTCTGGATGAATGATGACATGGGGCACAACATTGTCAGTCTGGGGAAGCGGAGTGTTTAAATGTATTAGCAGTGTTAAATACACTAAAAATAAAGCTCACACTTTATAATCAGTTACAACAAACAGTAAAATGGGATAAAAGACGAGCGCTTGGTCTGAAAGATTCAAGCTGCTAGCATGAAGGTAAACCTCGTATAACCTCCTCATAGACAAATAAAAACACCAAAAATGCAGCGCTTGAGCATGTAGTAAGAAGAAATTAGCGTATGCACATCCGGATTAAAAGAAATACATTAAAGGTATAACATGCACCAACTTAAACGCACAAATTAATGCAAACAATGGACGGGTAAGTATTAATGATTCATCCGACCAAAACAAAGTGCATATAGTGATAGGGATGTTAGAGTCATTAGAAGTACATCCGTGTATCAATCAAATTCATGACTTCCGTGATAGGAGAATAGCTGCAAAACGCACTAACCAGATAGCGCAGGAAAAAGCGCATTGGAGTATAATGACCTACTCCCGGTCACAGCCCAAAGATCATCAGCGAAGGGACCTCAGGAACACCTTTGCATCAATCATGCCGTCTCCTACCACCAGGGGGAGTACGTCTCCTTACAGTTACACGAATTTGCCTTATATCGTCTTTCGCCAAGGGTGGTGTGCTTTCGTATCAGGAGATCACCTTAGGGACTCAGCAATAAGGCCCAAAAGAGAGAAATCTTGATAGTGTAGTAATTTTTATTCAAAAGGTTGCTAAAGAACAAGTAGCACACTTACATAATGATATCCAGAAAAGCTGATTCACAGAATCCAAAAAGATTGGCCGACAGACCATGCATAGGACCAGGTGGAAACAAAGGCCGACAGTCAGATGCATGGACCATGTGGGTAACAAGTAGTATGAGTAGATTATACTCCAATGGTATCCTTAATTCTAACGCGTTTCGTGGCAAGAGCACATTATCCCCTTTGATAAATGCTAGTTACAACAAACAGTTTTTTCCTGTTGGGATAAAGGTTTTACATGGATATGTAATAGCTGATCATTTTAATCACTCCTGCAAGTGTTAAATGGTCTTTCATCCATGTAAACTGATACATTCTGCTAAAGAGCTTGAGCTTCTGAAAAACAACAGACTTCCTGGCTAGATCACCAAATGAACATATGAGAAAGAAAGCCTAAAAAGGGAAACTAATACAGCCATCACATCTAAGAATTGGTAAGCTGCAATATAATAAATGTTTGCTTTGGGGTTTATTACTCCTTTAATCACTTACTGAATATGCCTTTTCTTTATTTTTTAATCATTGCCTACTTTCCAGTTTAATCTGGTGCCCTTACCCGCTACCGCTGCCCTAGGTTTCCTGTATCAGGTGGCTCCTTTCTCTTGCAGCATCATGTGGAATTGTGTCTCCCTATACTGTGTGCATCAATAAAAACACACAACCCTGTTCCTCATGATAGCAAGGCACTTTCTGTTCCTCCCCCCCCCCCCCCCCCCTTCTCCAAGCTAACAGAATGACCGGAGACTGCACTGTCAATTATTTCCCATGAAGATCTGAAGTTAAAGTAGAACTATAGGCAAAACTTTTGTTTTCATTTTGGATAGAGCAAAGGAGGGTTATAACCCATGTCCCTTTATTTTTTGCCATCGGTTTTTCCATTGGGGAGATTTACCTTCAGTTCCTGTCCCATAGTTAAAACAGGAAGTGAGAGGAAATCCCTGCAAATTAAGTCAATTCCTTGGGAACTCCCAGGTCTCCAGAACTAGTGTCTTCATTGGAAAACGTCTCCTCTATTACTTTAATGGGAACAACCAAAAATTTGGGTTTCTTTTACTTTCACTTTAAATGCTAGGGGACGCGTGCAAGGCGCGCGACCGCCCTGCCCGTGGCACTGATCGCGGCAGCCACAGGTGTCAGTCACCGGGTCCTGGCCAGTGATTACCCACCGGAACCCGCCGATTGCCGGCAAACACTGACACAGAGCACAGCTGCATTGTTTTCAATGCAGCTCTGATCCTTGTCAGTTTCCCAGCTCACTGTGCCGGAGAGCAAAGCTTAGCTTTCCAGGACAGTGTGCAACAGTGAAGAACACACCCCCGCCCACTAGTAAAACACTCTCCTCACACAGTTAACCCTTTGATTGCATAAAATGTTAACCCCTTCCTCCCCAGTGCCATTAGTACAGTGTCGGTGTTTTTTTTTGCACTGATCACTGTATTAGTGTCACTGGGGATGTTGGTGACCCCAAGTCAGTTCCCCCAGTGTCAAAATGTCCACCACAGTCCCGCAGAACCACCATAAGTTGCTGATCGCCGCTACTATTATACAAAAAAAAAATCCAGTATCTATACTGCCATTTGTAAACGCTATAACTTTCACATAAACCAATTAATTTACACATTTTTTTTTTTTTTTTTTTAGCAAAGACATGTCACAAAATACATTTTGGCTGAAATTTATGATGAAATTTGATTTTTAATTTTTTTTACTGGACATGTTTTATAGCAAAAAGTCCAAAATATTTTTTTTTTTTTTTCTCAAAATTGTCGGTTTTTTTTTTTTTATAGCGCAAAAAATAAAAAAAACACACAGGCTATCAAATACCACCAAAAGAGCCCAATTAATGGGAAAAAAAGATATAAATTTCATTTTTGTGCAGCATTGCATGACCGTGCAATTGTCAGTTAAAGTGACGCAGCGCCATAACACAAACCGCTTATGTAACCGCTTTCTGACCGCCCTATAGCAGAATTACTGCTACAGAGCGGCACAGGTGTGCAAAATCACATATATATATATATACATGAGTGACATTCCTGTGGTTTTCACGCCCCTCCCAGATATCATCAGATTGCCCCTCAGTACACCAGTAATCACATTTAACCCCTTGACTGCCAGGAACACGCTCATACACCATAAACCTCCATTGCTAGTATAGTGTCTGAACGGATCAATATCTTTGATCAGATCAGCACTATAACAGCGTTCACA